GGGACTCGATCCTGGGACTCCAGGATCATGACCTGAGCCGAAGGCAGTCGCTTAACCAACTGAGCCACCCAGGCGCCCCAATTTATCATTTTTAAAACAAATAACTAATACTGGAAAGAATATTGAGAAATAGGTACCCTTATCCACTGTTGGTAAAGCTATAAACTGATACAAACTTTTTGAAAGGTTGGTACTGTGTCTCCAAAACCAAGAATGTAGGAATCTTAGACAATGGGCTCTAGAGTTGGAAGCCTGCCTTCCAATCCTTACCATTACATGCTGTGTGACTGGACAAGTTTCTCAGGTTTCCTGAACCTCATTCTCCTCCTCTATAAACACGAGAATAATAATATTATCAACCTCTTAGGCCTGTCATTAAAGTCAATGGAGATAATAACTGTAAAATATTTATCACAGAGCATATTCATTTTCTATTGCTGCAAAACAAATTGCCACAAAATCTGTAGTTTATAACAATATATATTTCTTATCTCACAGTTTGTGTGGGGTGCAAGTCTGCATATGGCTTGTTGGGTCCTCTGCAAGGCTGCAATCAAGGTGTCAGCTGGAGCTGGATCCTCATCTGAAGGCTTGATGGGAGAAGAGTCTGTCATTGACTCTTGAATGAAAGCCATCCTCATCTCCTAATGGCTGCCCTCAAATCCTTGCCATATGGGCCTTCTAACATGGCTACTTACTTCTTTAAATCTAGCAAGGGAGAAAATCCCTAGAATGAGTCTGCTAGAGAAACTGAGCCTTAAATTATGTAAGAGAATCACATCCTATCACCTTTGTCATATTCTACTGACTAGAAGTAAGTCACAGGTCCTGTTCATACTCAAGGTGAGGAAATTACCCAAAGCCGTGAATACCAGGAGTTGGGGATTAGGAACGCAATCTTAGAGTCTATTCCCCACTGTTAGCTATTGCATATAATAAGAAATTCAGCACAAAATTATTTATGACATTGAAAAATGTGAGACAACTTAAATGGCCACCATTTATGAAATTCAAGGTCAATGTGGCTGAAGCATACTGTGTGAAATGCATGAGGACAGTGGAACTACCAAATCAGAAGAAGCAGGTCAAAATTTTCCTGGCATAGCTACAGAACTCCCTCAGCAGAAGAGTGCAAGTAACCCAACATGAGGAGGATGGGATTGTTGGTAGGATTTTTAAAAAATGATACATTTCTTTGGCCATAAACATAATTTCTGGGGAGGATGGGATTATTCATAGAATGTTTAAAAATGATAAAAGGTATTTCTTTAGCCATAAACATAATTTCTATCAGTCATAGCAGAATTTGGCTCTAGAACACTGGTTGTGAACAGTCAAAGGAGAAAGTTTATAAAGGGAAACAGTAAAATATAATAAGTTAAGTCTCTGTTAGGTGACAGGAGGGCCAGTCTTCTTTTTTTTGTTGTTAAGATTTTATTTATTTGACAGAGAGATAGAGAGAGCACAAGTAGGCAGAGTGGCAGGCAGAGGGAGAGGGAGAAGCAGACTCCCCGCTGAGCAGGGAGCCCGACGCGGGGCTCGATCCCAGGACCCTGGGATCATGACCTGAGCCG